GATCTTCAAACAACTGGGGTGGGGGTAGCCAAGTGGTTAAAGCATTTGCATGTCACTCCAAAGACCTGGGTTTGATTCCCCACATGGGCAAAACGTGTAAAGCCCATTTCTGGTGTTCCCTGCCAAGATATTGCTGGAATATTGTTAAAAGTGGCATAAAACCCAACTCGCTCACTCAAACTATTGGGCAACCCTTGATGCATTTAAAAACATAGTCATAACTATAAGGAGACATAGGTAGGACATAGGGGGACAGTGGGACAGGTTGCCAGACTCCTTGTATAAGGTCGACTCCAAAAGTGACAACAGTGATGTGAGTAAAATATAACCCTTCTAAGTCTTAAGGTCTACATTGCTTAGCGGTGTTTACCTCTGGCATATCATACACCATACAACTCTAGCATTGCTAAATATACATCAAACCACAAATACTCTGAGGTGAGGTGAGGTGAGGTGAGGTGAGGTGAGGTGAGGTGAGGTGAGGTGAGGTGAAATGGGGTTTAATGTCTCACTTAAGAATACTTGGCTCATATGACAATGTGCATGTGTGTGTATGTGTGGCTGCTTGTACTAGCCCAGGCTTAAGCTGGTTTTATAGTGCTAGCTCACTGAAATACCATGCCGCAGTTAAGCATGAATACCCCACACAGACACATGTGTGCATGTGTGACACATTATACTGACTCCGAGACTGACCAGTCCTTGTTGTACCCATTAATGCTGAGCGCCAGGCAGGGACCAACAAGTACCATACTTTAACCTCGTTTGGTATGATGTGGCTATGGATCGAACATGCGACCTTCCGCTCTTCGGGCGGATGCTCTAACCACTAAACCATGTAGGCGGTTACAAATACTTTCGATGACTGGCAACCAACTGCCAACATGACAATCAACTATCAACCTTCTATGCTGACACCAAATAACCAAACAAATGCTAAAATATTTCTTTGTGCACAAAAATAACAAATCCTTCTTCTTAAAAAAACAAAATCAATTTCATGAACAAAACACCACATTAACGTCAACAAAGGCTAAGAGCAGAAACATTCATCCTACCTGTGTAATTCCTTTGGAAATCTACTCTGGTGACAAATCTACACAACACTGTCACCACAAACTCCACTGTCATCAGTGTTGCCTTCTAATTCAAGCCTATTGTGTACATGACCTCTTGTATCACCGTGTCCACTTACGACCAGGCTTGATGAAGTATAACACTAGTGGAGCATGTTCCAGTCATTGCGACCAGACAACCCTCCTCCATGTCTTATCACAGGACACATCTCCCTGCCATGTATGTTCAATGATGCTTCAATCGCCATGTACACTCAGATTTAAACTCATTGATTTGCACTGAGATGTCCACTGTCTCTGACTGAATGCCTGGACACATGGTGGAACTGCTACAGAGGAATGATGGGGAGAGATGGGAAGGATGGACGCTGAGCATGGGGAGGGATCAAGTGATAATTAATGACATGACAGCCTACAGGGAAAACAGATTACAACCTCAAGATGTTCAAAATTGGGAACAAAAAGGCTTTTCAGGGCTGACTTAAATGATTTTTGGAGGTGATTATTTTTAGGTCATAAACTGAAAGTTCTCTGTAAAATGAATTCAAAGATACTAGTCTGTTAAATATCTGAGATAACAATCATACTGTGAGTGATATATCTGGCAAAGGTTTGAACTCCAACCAACAATGCTACATCCGTCAGATAAATTGATTTTGTTCTTATATCAAATCAGGCAGAGATTCTATAATGAGCAAAACACAAAAACCATCAGTCTATGAACAAAATAAATATTTTGCAAAACTAATAAATGTCAAATAACTATCATAGTTCCTCTTCATTTAAAGAAAATAATTCACATAAAAGGAAAAACAAAGTTGACGATCCTGACAAAACCAACAAAGCAACACAGTATGAAATATTGAACATAACTAAATGGTGAAATGTAACAACATACCTACCCTTAACAGATCAGCAGTCTCACATCAACGTAAAATATTCACAGGTTAACCAAACTATCTGTCAGCTTAAGACATTACCCAGCTCTTTACCTTATATACATTACATGCATGACTTTATTGAAAATCAAAATGATGTTGCTATGGAAACAGTTTCTACATGGATAAGTGATGGCAACAAAGTAATCACGGCAATGCCCGTGGCCCTGCTAGTCGAGTGTCCACCTTGGTTGAGAGTGATGAAAGGCTGGGGGCAGTGTTACGTCGCCGATGTCTCACAACACTAGCGTGTGTGTGCAGTGCTGCAAAAGGCTTGCACAGCAGCCACAAGAATCAATACTGAATGTGGCTTATTGAAATGGACACTTTCAGACCAGATGGTATAATCTCAAATTGTATGTGTATTTGATCTTAACAATGAAATATTTACTCACAGAGCTGCCAGCGAGCTTGCAATTGATTTCCTTGAGTTAATGTAGTGATTATGTAAACAATATAAAGAAACAATCATATTTCATAAAATCAACAGTTAACAGAATATTTTTTCTTATTTGATTTTGGGAAAGTTAGAAGAAATTACCATGAAGACTTTTGAAAAGCCTCATGATGAATGTTGTTTTATTACCTACGAGGGTGAACATATCGGGGTTCTTATTTTTCATACGATGCCCGAGGGCAAAATATCACTTTGTCATGGTGACGTGACGTCATGAACAATGCTATGACGTCACATTCCTTCTGTGACGTTGCGTTCTACATGTGGCGATGGCGGAAAGCCAGCCTGTGTTCGAAAGTAGATTTGGGTTAATTTTCCTCAATTTGACGACTCCGGTAATAAACAGAATATTATATTCGTGCCCATATCATACTATGTTTACGACACTCGTGCCTAAATATTGGCATATCCCTCACTCTCGCTCGGGAAGTACCAACATTTAGGCACTTGTGTCGTAAACATAGTATGACATGGGCACTCATGTAATATCCTCTATTTATGCCACAGTCAGCACTATTCCATCTATGGCGAGATGCATGAAAATGGTTGAGTGTGGATGAGAAAAAAACAATGGTTGACAACATGAGTTAATGTTATGAAGTCGGGGCACATTGACATACCAGGAACAACGTCACACACTGTTACCATCTGAGCTTGTACTTCGTCAGCTCATTCCACTAATAGGAGATATTGGGTTGGTTGGTTGTATTATATCATTCACATAAATGTAATATTGACATGCACATGTTGCTGGTTTCCGGTCACGTGACATATAATCGAGACATAATATACGAGTACTGCATGGGACTAAGTACTTGTACTGCTTTTATTCGTTCTTCAATGTGCTTCACCGAGTGGCCCTTGAGGTTCAAAAACTTCCTGATTGCTCTGAACTCAAGCTTATCCATTTCTGATGTTTCAGTAGGGGTACATGTGATAATATATGTCACGTGACCGGAAACTAGTCACATGTGCATGTCAATATTATGTGCATGTCAATGACATAAACCATTCTTCAACATCATACAGTTATTTTCATCATAACTTGTTTGAGTGGCATTTTAGAAGTAGAGACGTACGATATGGAACAAGTTTTTATGGATAACAACTTCTATATTTAGTGAGTCTTGGCGTTTGATACAGATTCTTGTACCGTTGTCAAGCAAAGAGTGATACTTCTTGCTTGACAACGGTACAAGAATCTGTATCAAACGTCGCACTCACTAAATAAAGAAGTTGTTATCCATAAAAACTTGTTCCATATTTTCATCATGCACATATCAGAAGTATTTTAGGCTCAAAACATTTTGATAGCCCCTCGTATGATTCAGTTGATTTTTCACTGCATTCTACTAACCAAACAGGTCAGTTGTCATGGAAACATGGTTTTATTCTCATAAAATTCCCTGAAACATCCAAGCAAGTGATAACAGAAACTGGTCCATGATAGAAATCTGCATGAAGAGGCAAAAACACTGGGTTGTGATGGAGCTTCAGCAAATGCAACGTTGAATATTATACTATGGTAAGGAAAGGCTGAAGTGATGCTGTCTACCATTTTATAGTGAAACCCAAGCATGTGTGTGATGCTGACACAAATCTAGAAAAATCAGAGCAAATCTGTAATTGCTGCAACAAATGTGAGGGTATGTCATGGTGTCAGAGACAAAACACAGTGTAGCATGGAGAGGTCTGCCGAAACCTCATGGACCATCTGTGATGTTGAACTCCATTTGTCTGTCTTCAGGGTTCTACCAGATGCAAAATATTGCATCCTTGATGCATATAGAGTATACTATGATTATAATGAGCTTAAAGGGACCACTAAGTTTAGTTTGTTATAGCTGTTGTTTTCGAAGTAGTGGGAACCAAGAACAGGACAGTTTCTTGTATCAGTCAATTCACTTTAAGCATGCTCTTTATAGACATTTAATGTACAAAACAATTGATTTCAATTTTAGGTCCTGCTTGACTCACAACCTTGAGGTGTTTGAATCACTTTTACTGATCACTATTAAAATTGTACACAGCATTTCGGTCCGAGGTAAACCTGTGCAGATCTGGGTTAGAATTCATCTTCAGTAACCCATGCTTGTTGTAACAGGCGACTAACAGGATTTGGTGGTCAGGCTTGCTGACTTTGTTGACACATGTCATCGCATCCCAATAGCATAGATCAATGGTCATGCTGTTGATCACTGGATTGTCTGATCCAGACTTGATTATTCACAAACCGCCGCCATACAGCTGGAATATTGCTGAGTGCGGCGTAAAACTAAACTCACTCACTATCCTGGGTAAAAAAGTTATGGCTAAATTTCTTCAATTAAATCTCCATTAAAACTAGGTATAATGTTCTCAAATGTGCTGTAGTGTGATATCTGTAAAAGTCCGGGGGTCAGATGAAGTGTGCCAAAGAACAGATGTGACCTTCACAGACTGGTTGACCTTGGTAAATGGTTGCTTCACAGGCACTACAGGTTTATCCTGCTACCAAAGGACAGTATATTTACCTTGATGGCCTCCCTCTGTACTAGTGTCGACTTCTGCTGGTCCGGCAACTTGTCATGTGATCCCAGGATAACCTCTGCACCACCCAGCCAGTCCTTGACCTTGAGTATCTGTGTCTGGAAGTCGATGAACTGACCATCGATCTTGCTGCTCTCATCCTGGAGAGGGAAGAGAGGAATGACAGATTTTGAGAGCTGTGTTTGAATAGCATATCAGTGATATCATGGCATGGCATTTTATTGTTGGAGGAAACCAAATACAAATGTAGGTCGTAGATGTTAGCCACAAAGAAAAAATGAGAATCCGTATTATCTGGCAACACGGGGATTTGAGTCTGAGTGTCAGTGGATCGTGGGACTAATAAGGGAAGCAACTCTGTATACACTTGAACAACACTGGCGATTGAATCAAGGATTTAGTTACAAGCTGTTTCCATACATTAATTATAAGATATCATCTGTACCGCCTTTGTCCTAAACAATTTTTTCATAAAGAGATCATGACATCATGTTTTGGATTTTCTTGATGGTATCACCCTTCAAGCCAGGTTTAAATTTCACAATCATGTTTTGTGAACATGTTTGTTGCTGGCTATTGAGTAATTCCTTTTAATGATAGAAAATGCCCCATCAACAAACCAATTATCATGTTTCCTCATAATTTATCGTGTAACTTTGTGATTGCTACACAGATAAATACATATATTAATGTACATAGTTTCATATACATGTACATTGTGACAATCAACTCACTTGCAATTTCTGTTTCCGTGCTGACAGCCTGGTAGACAGGTCCTCTACCGACTTCTCCATGTTAGACACTGTTTCAGCTACCTCGATTACCTCCCCTTCTTCAGCCAGGTCCTGGAGCTGGTGAATGAGTTCCTTGATTGAGCGGCACTAGTGCCTGTCTTTTGGCCAGGTCATCTTCAGCCAGCTGAGGATCGGTGAAAATAACATACTATTGAACAGGCACAGGTTAGGCATCTTTACAATATAATAAAACTCAGTAACTGACCAGACAAATTGACCTGTAAAGAAGTCCTTAAAGGATCTGGGTAAATGAGTGAGTGAGTGAGTTAAGATTTAAAGTCACATAAAGGACTCTGGGTAAATGAATGCTGGATTATTATAATTATTTTTTTAAGTCCAAACTAAAGAATATGCAAAATATATCGATTATTAACCATGGTAAATTCAGAGATTATATCATACACTTTTTGTTCTTTTTTTTATTTGTTGCACACCACACTCTCCAGTATTCCAGCCTTATGACAACAGCTCGTGATTCATCATGTCTGGACCAAACAAACCAGTGATGGATAATATGAACAATTTTCCACATTCTGGGTACAATGAGGTATGCCATCAATCAAGTTATGTTTCATGTGGCCATCATGATATCAGGAACCAAAATCCTCAACCTGAAACCCTCTGGGGTTCATACAAAGTGTACAAAGGCTGGGTCTAAGACCACCAGATCCTGCCTTTAACTAGGGGTCTTAACTCTGCCCATGACTCACCCTGACATGGTTGACCTCCTCTTCTACATTGTAGACGGTTGTGTTTAACTCCCTTCGGTCAAGGTCATGATTCGTTGCTGACACAAACTCGCTGACTGCACTCATTTCTTTCCGTAGCTTCTTCGACAGTTTTAGAGCTTTCTCAAGATTAGTTTTCCCCAATGTCACCTAATGTTGGAGTAACACAATGATAGGGGTCATTAAAACAGTCATTTGAAATCACTATGCTAAATTGATGGATACAATTTTCTTAAGTTGAATAAAAGTTAACGCAATACAAATTAATTATTCCTTATAATGAAGGTTTTCAAACATTCACTATTACCAGTTGAAATTATTATTGTTAAGTATATAATCATTATAAGTTGAGAATATTGATTAATATTTACTACACGGAAAATATCTACAAGATTTGAGATAATAATCAAAGATAAAGATTACAGAAATATGTTTTAATGTTGAACCATATATCTATATTAGAATGAAAAAAATTTAAATCCCAGAAGCAGAACATAAAATATTATATTTAAAAGCATGCACATTGCAAAACAAAAGATGAAATAGGCTCCACACTTAGGATGAAATAAGCAAGCACAGAGTTAGGAAAACAAACATTACTTTTGCAACATACTGTAACATTAATTGTTATTCACCATGCTTATGTGAGTGTTGATCGTGTGTTCATTAAATAAGTATAATTACGACTAAAACAGCAAACATACAGTTCTAATCAACAAATCTACTCATGAAGTCATGCTGTGAGCTGACAAGAGAAAATTGGTTACCAAAAAAGGATATAATTTGTCATAAAATATACTTGAAACAAAAGACCCTATCAAAATATGTCACATGCTCCTAAAGTTCAATATGTACTGCTTAAATGAAATAAATGCACACCCAGTTCTTTCATATCACTTTAGTCTATCTACCATGATGTGACAGATTAGCTGTATTAATAAGAAATACTCAGGTGTTCTTTTGAGAACCAAATGTATGTTTATAAGCCAATGTAGCTTCTCAGTGAACATGTATTTCCTATCAGGGAAGTGTGCTTTGAAAGGCTGGCCATGGCCACCATCTTCCTGATATAACAATCTTAAAGTTTTCAGAACATTTAAGAAAATCTATGTTTCCAACTGGTATTCACAACAATGTAATGTAAAGCTTGATACTAAAAGACAATGCAGCAAGTTTGCATAAGGTTACAGCTTCCTAAAAAACAACCACCCCAAAAGAACCTTCTTTTTAACTTCACCGCCATTTGGACACTTAATTTTACAGGTAAGTTTTATGCTGGAAGTTTTTATTGATTTTCGTACATTTGAAACTATCAACGACAGGTGTTATCGACATGCTGATGTAAGTGCATGTTAATATCAGAGGATCAGTAACATACATAGGTTTGTTAGTAGACAAGTCCGGGAGTAGCCTGGCTTATACCTTGTGTATATAACAGCATTAACTCTACACAATATATCAGTCAACAATTAAACGTAAGTAACCATGGTGACCCGACGCCTCTGTAATGAAATATTTGTCAGTCATGTCATCGATACTATCTCATGATGCATACCAGGGAAGCCATGTTTAATTATAATACAGTTTATATTTCATATAAATTATTAGATATCAGTCAGTGTTTTGTGCAACATAAATCACTTGGTTATCTCACACAAATTGCATTTGGAAAACATTTCATCAAAAATACAACATGCAACGAAATCACACAAAAACGACAAACGTAAGGAAATTAAAAACTGAAGTGAAAATAGCTTCAAGATATTTACTTCACAACAGAGGAAAGAAAGTCAGTCTTGACAAAAGAATGATGCGATTTGAAAAACCATACCAAACATTGCCGGTATCAGAACCAGTGAATTGATCTTAGAATACCAAAAATATAAACAGCAATGTAAATTTTTGGAAAAAGAGGCTAAACAAAATCACTAAAATAATGGAAGCAAGTTTTATGACAAAAATAAATTTAGATAACTGTTCTTAAATAATATTTCAAATTTTATGTATTTCTGATTTTGAAGGCATCATTCTTCTGACCTCCTTTCTTCACCATGAAGGAGTACCGGCCTACACTACTATCCAGACAGAGATAAGCTAGAGGAAAGCCAGGCTACAGCAAGCTGCTGCTGCAGTGTTATGTGACTCAGCTAGTACCTGTGCCCCCAGGTCATTATATTGTTGTTTAATGGCATCCAACTGCTTATTGAGCTTGTCAGGGAAGTCTACCTGTTTCTTCTCTACCACATGACGACCTGCCTTGATCACATACTCCACCTCTGGCTTTAGCTCACTCATTGTCTTGTAAAATTTCTGGAAGTGAAACAATGTTTAAAATTATTTCTGTCATCTGGCCAATCCCATGAGATTTGTCCACCATCTCCATCTATCCATTGCATCAATCAGTCTCTCCGTGCATCCATCTCCTCATCCATCAATGCATCTTCCACCACCATATCTCAACCAACCATCTACCCATCTACTAATGTCTATTGCCATCTATTCATCACCCAAGCATCCATCATTCTTTGCCTTCACCAATCTCTCAATGTATCCATCTCAACCTCCACCCATCCATCTCCAAAAACATCTATCACTGTATCCATCTCTCCATCACTCTTTGCCTTCACCAGTCTCTCAATGTATCCATCTCAGCCTCCACCCATCCATCTCCCAAAACATCTATCACTCAATCCATCCATCCCCTTTGCCTTCACCAGTCTCAATCCATCTCAAACTCCACCCATCCATCCCCCAAACACTGTATCCATCTCTCCATCAGCCTTCAGTCTCTCAATGTATCATCTCATATCCAGTCATCCATCCCCAATCTATCACAGTATCCATCTCTCCATCACTCTTTGCCTTCCCATCTCAATCCATCTCAACCTCCACCCATCCATCCCCAAAACATCTATCATGCATCCATCTCTCCATCACTCATGCCTGGACTGCAGCATCCATCTCGATCCATCCCCAAAACATCTCTGATCCTCCCCATCTCTCCAGGGCACTTCATCCCCCATCAATCTCAGTCTCCACCAATCCATCACTCCACTCATCCATCTATCCTCGTCCTCTCCGGTATCTCACCATGCAGGTGTCATGCCTAGACTGCAGCATCTCGATATCCTCCCCAGGGACTTCCAGGAGGTGAGATCTGTCCTGGATGTTGTCCAGCTCCCTCTTCACATGACTCAGTTTTGGCTCAAAGTCTGCTGGGCGCTGGAACTTGCGGAACTTCACCATCACCTCAGCAAAGTGTTTCTGTTAGGAATATATGATGCAGCAAGAGTTGTTTGGCATAAATCTAAACTTTTAATTGCTAGTGAGGTGGGTATAATGCTGCTTTGAACCTAATTTCATCATGCATAAATCTAAACTTTTTGAATTGCTAGTGAGGTGGGTATAATGCTGCTTTCAACAGAATTCCAGTCATGTCATAGTCTATCATTAATGCCGAGCCCAGGCAGGAACCATCAAGTATGACGTAGTAGTCAATCAAGGAATGTAGTAATCAAGGAATGTTTGTTCATCAGCCACTCATACCCAATTTAATAGCCTCTGAACAAGATGAGAAGGGAATACATGCAACTTGACAGGAAACTAAGTCATGAAAGGTCTTTCCATGCATTAATCTGACAGTAACTGTGCATCAATCTGACAGAGTAACTGTGCATCAATCTGACAGAGTAACTGTGCATTAATCTGACAGAGTAACTGTGCATCAATCTGACAGAGTAACTGTGCATTAATCTGACAGAGTAACTGTGCATCAATCTGACAGAGTAACTGTGCATAACAGTGCATTAATCTGACAGAGTAACTGTGCATCAATCTGACAGAATCTGACAGAGTAACTGTGCATCAATCTGACAGAGTAACTGTGCATCAATCTAACAGAGTAACTGTGCATCAATCTAACAGAGTAACTGTGCATTAATCTTACAGACTTACTGTGCATTAATCTGACCTTGAGTAACAGTGCATTAATCTGACAGAGTAACTGTGCATCAATCTGACAGAGTAACTGTGCATTAATCTGCCAGAGTAACTGTGCATTAATCTGCCAGAGTAACTGTGCATCAATCTGACAGAGTAACTGTGCATCAATCTGACAGAGTAACTGTGCATCAATCTGACAGAGTAACTGTGCATCAATCTAACAGAGTAACTGTGCATCAATCTAACAGAGTAACTGTGCATTAATCTGACCTTGAGTAACAGTGCATTAATCTGACAGACTTACTGTGCATTAATCTGACCTTGAGTAACAGTGCATTAATCTGACAGAGTAACTGTGCATTAATCTGACAGAGTAACAGTGCATTAATCTGACAGAGTAACTGTGCATCAATCTGACAGAGTAACTGTGCATCAATCTGACCTTGAGTAACAATGCATTAATCTGACAGAGTAACTGTGCATTAATCTGACAGAGTAACTGTGCATTAATCTGACCTTGAGTTACAATGTATCTAACCTTCAGAAGCTGCGTCTGTTGCTCCAGCCTGGCACTGGCCTCCATCTTGCCCTGCTGGCGGTACTCCAGGACATGCTTCTCCAGCTCCCGCAGGAGATCCTCCTGCTGCTGGAACTCCTCCTTCAGAGACTGTGGAAGGAGGAACAGTAACACACATGTTACAGAGCTCCAGATCATGCAACACACATGTTACACAACTCCAGATCATGCAACACACATGTTACAGAACTCCAGATCATTCATTCACTTACGGAGTTTGTGGAGAAATAAGTATGAGAAAATCTCAATAGGAATCTCTCTGAGTATTTACCCATATAGCCGTTTTGCTTGCATTTATATATTTTGTAGAAATTTGATTTACTCATTGAAAGCAGGCACCATGAAGACATCAATAATTCTGCAGTATGTAACACAAGAAGTTGTACGTCAAGTGTGTTGTACCTTCGATATATATCTTGGTCCAAGCTCATGCAATGTGTGATACACTGAGGGCAGTTCACACATGCACAAGCAGAAGCATTTTCTACTGACCAACATTTAAGGAGGACATTACCATGAGCTATGAGCTCCACAGGCAACACTGTAGAATGGAACTGAAACTTAATCTCTGTCAGTTCCTGTTATCATCTGATTTAGTCTGGCAATCTGTAGCAACTGACCTCATGTTCCTGAGGAACGTCGCCAGCAACCATGTCTGCATCCAGACGAGACTGTAGGTACTGGGTGATGTCCGACATCCACTGTGACATTTCCAGCATTTGACGCTCGATCTTCTGGGCCTGGTGGATTGACCGCTCCAGACGGTTCACCTTTTCTTTGGCCTGTGTACACAGATATATATCCATACAACTATAACTTCAAAATACATCCAAGGTGGCATAAAATCCTTCGACCTGTATTATATGATAAAATGTACATCACAGGTTGTTGGTGCCAAACCATCAACAGACTCAACGACTCCAGTCAGTGGAAATGAGATCATCAAAAGTAGCAACAGCAACAGAGTTAAAAAATGTTTTTAAAAAATGGCACCATTACAAGCAGGAGCATGTCTGTGACCAACACTCTCCTACCCAGAGTACCATGCGGCAAGCCAGCATAGTACCTCTGCCACAGGCCAGAAAAATGTGACGATTCATCACATCTTGCACTGTCCATTCAATATAATGTACAGATTTCTTTTACTCTTTTATTTTTGACGAGTCTACACATCTAATTAAACATCTTTAATAGAATGAATTAGTTTCACTGAGAAAATATCTAAAAACATGTAACACTATTTCGATTTGCGTAGCGATCCTTTGTTTACATAGGTTGTACGGCTCCACTTGCTGTCATCGAAGCCGGCGGAGAGCAAACGCGATGCAGCCAGTTTGATATCTAAATATGTACTGTCATAGACCTAACTCAATGTAAAACATTATGAAGAGGCCAAAGCTTTAGCTTCCAGTTCTTCTTCTCTTATTATTATGAATATCCATTACAAACAAGAGAAAAGTCTGGTCACGTGATATGCAAATTAGCCTGTGGCAGTGATGTTATGTCAAGTCATCGCTGTGCCGCAGTGTGTGTGACCAACTGACCTCTGCCTCCAGGGAGCTGTACTTCCTGTTGTACTCCTCCAGCTCCTTCTTCACAATGTCCACCATGACGGAGTTAGTGATCAGTTCCCCGGCCAGCTCGTTCACACGCTTCCTGTTGTTGTCATTGTGGTCCCTGAGAAGGGTCTCCACATCCTGTGATACAATATCAGTTTGTTTATATGTACCATCTCAAACAACATCTTACCAATACAATTGCAGGTCTGCTGAAACAGTTCCCATCTCATCTGGAATCTTGTGTTTCTTGTCAACATTAAAGATCACTTGTCCATCTGAGTTAAGATGGCAGGTTGACTGTGAACATTTTCTCTCAATAACATAGAGTATGACTATGACACTATTTCCCCCATCCTCTTGCAGCAAGCTAAAATGTAATACATACCCAGAAAATGTCACTATTAAACATGGTTGACTGAGAAATTCATTTCAAAACTACTTACATCTAGTTCTTCTGAAATCTCCTCAGCATCTGAACTGGTAGCTGAAGTTCGACGGACTTTCCTTTCCAGATTCTGCAGAAACCGCCTCTCCAAATCCAGAAGGTCTGAAATGTCAACATCAATCAGTGTAATCACTATGGAAACAGTAATTAGGCACTATGATTTGCTAAATGTAAATCCACAACCTTCACATGCTTGCAAATAATTGCCTCAACTAGAACTGCAGTGCACATCAACCAGTGGGCATATTTCCAAGTAAATTGTGCGTACACCTAGCACTAACTTCATCTTAATATCTCAGGGTCAGAAACAAATTTATATTTTCACTAGTGCACAAAAATGATAATTAACAATACATCCACAAGGAAATACCATAATTTGTTCTTCAATTTTACAGGTCTTGGACAAGCCGACTAATATTAACTTCAGACCCTGGATTTACCTTTCAGCTCCTTCCACTGAACATCAGAGCTGTCATACAGAGAGTGGTATCTGTCCACCCTCTGGAACACATCGGTCCATAACGCATTCATCTTCATCAGCGACCGCGCCAACTCCTGCAGTGTCCCTGATGGAGCTTTGTTCAACATTTCGTTAGCTTCTTCGTTGAGTGCATCCACTTCAGACTCTCTCCCACTCACATCCTTCTTCAGACTCTGGAAGGTGGTGTTATTATAACCTTAACTGACTTCATGTACATTACACTAAACATCACGCAGATACAGCACGAGTCTAGTCAACTATCATAGTGAATTGTCAGAATTTTTTAAAAGGAATTGCTGCAATATTCAGTTGGTGTTTGAGACATTGAAATGAACTTGTGAAAACTGCTTCTAAATATTTTTAGCAAGTGAATACATCAAGTGAGCATTGTTTTACAATATTTTGAAATATTTCAACAGTTGAAAATCAACATGAAATGTTAAGGGTGTCAAGCAAATGCTTTGAAAAATAGGTTGACCATTTACCCCTCAGAACAAAACCAAAATTGACAAGAAATACAAAGAAGCCCTAAACACATGTAGAACACAGAAATTCAACAAACCTTGAATTTTTTGTTCTTCACAAGCAGATCATTTGCATTTTCCACTGAGTAATCCTTATTAGCCAGGTTGACCTTGAGTGGTTCCAGCCACTTAGTGATGTTGTCTATCTTGTCGTACACACCCTGACTGTCACACAGGAGTTTCTTCAGGCGCTCGTTTTGTTCCTCGGCCATTTGGACAACTCGCTCCCACTTACTGTTCAAGCTCACTACCTCATTGTCCAGACTCTCCTGGAACTTGTCATCACCCTCCGCAGACAAGGACTTGCTCAAGCTGCTGATGTTGGTGACGTTCTGACGGAGGGTCTTAATATCATCCAGAACTCCCTGAAAATAAGTTCACAAGATTTGTCATCAGATATTTCTTCTTATGTTTGATACATTGGCCAATTTCAATGATAGGTATTATGTAAATGACATCTTCAATCTCCTAGCAACACGGGTTGATGGTATGGTACAATAAATGGAATGCTTAGTCCAGGTCTTTCTATCCTTATCATATTGTTTATGAATTTATTCTTAAAGACTACCGATTGGGGATTCTGGGTTTGGATTTGTCCCCAGCAACCTGTGCTGATTTCTTTCATGTATCAGTGAGTGAGTGAGTATGGTTTTATGCTGCTTTTAGCAAAATTCCAGCAATATCACTGCTGGGGACACGAGAAATGGGCTTCACATATTGTACCCATGTGGGGAATCGAACCTAGATCTTCGGCGTGATGAGCCAATGCTTAAACCACTAGGCTACCCCACCGCCACCTTTTATGTATCAGCTCTGTTCAGAGCCTGCTGTAAGCCAACACTACACTGGAGAACAACTCATGTTACTCTTGTGAAACTTGACAGCCCATTTCTCCTGTGTATGTGAATCTGTTCTATCAAGCACTAGCTGTAAACAGAAGAACCACTTACGTTACTCTCATGGAGCTGTGCTTCAAGGGTGGGGATGTCACCACTGACTGGGTCCTCTGCATGGAGGAACACATCCATTTCATCCATCCATCGTGTCAGCCCAACCAGCTGATTCTAAAACATGTCGACATTGATGAAGATACAACTGTATCATACATTCAGCAGGGATGGAAATAACCCATTGCCCGACGTCCGGGTCCAGTGTTTTTCAGTCGGGCAAGCAAATTTGTATATCATGCTGTACTAATGTCAAGTTGACTTTCCAATGTTAATTATGTTGTTTATTTAAAAAATCAACAAGAAAATCGGCCAGTATAGAGGAAAATTATCAGGGCAAGTGATTTTACATGTGCCACTGTACCGGTGTACACTAGCAATTTTAAAGTTATTTCCGCCCCTGATTCAGTAAAGAAGCAAAGAGTGACTTGGCAGCCATGCTGCAATGTACAATATTTCAGCTTTATGAAGGCAACGCAGCAACAAGAGTCCATGCAGGTCTAATTCCACTTGTATGAAGCCGGAAATAATTGCAATGTTGCTGATAAATTTTAATCATAGGATCCTGCCATGCCTAAGGGATGTAACTCTGCACAATGACCTGACTAATATATAAGAACTAATTTGGTTTAATACTCACACTTAATTATCCACTTCAACTAACATACCAGAGAGTTACCAATTCATGCTTGTAGAAAACATATAACATAATTATTGGTGACCAACTACCAGCTGTACCCTAACATGACTGACTTCAATATGTTTTTCCATTGTAGGCCTGTAGTTGATGCATGTAAAGTGTGCACATAGACTACAGGGGCAGAAATACTTTATTTTCTAAGTGTGCCTTAGGGCACCAGGCAAATATTTTAAATGTGCCTTTCAGAAATCAATGAATGACTGTAGCAGTGATGATGATGTTTTGAAATTTATTGTTAGTAAACAACAAATGTAACCTGTTTTCTGTCTTCTGTTTAATGGCTTTCTTCAGCTTCGTTTGTACTACTTTCCAAACACTTTTAATAGCTGAGAATTTTGTGACAGGTATTTGTTCAACATATCTAACATACACAATTTCCTCTTCAATAACCTAACTATCAGTACTCCCATCACTCTTAATGGAAAAACAACCAGATTTCTTTACATCATCCATCATAATTCCATTGATTTCCTGGGCGATAAAGTCAAAAAATGTTTTTGCTTGTTTGTCATTTGCGTAAGTGTCTTGTTTTGGGGATTATATGACTAAAGGTGAGTTATGTCTCTAAAAAATTAGGCGTGCCACAAGGGCACAGAGAACAGTTTTTATCCGTGCCATTTCAATATTTACCGTGCCATGGCACCCTAATATATGGAGTATTTCAAACCCTGGACTAGTAGATGATCCCTTGGCAATCTAGTATCAGCAAGTAAGGACACAGTTGTTCGGGTGAGTGGATGGTCAAATATTTTTCTGTTTATAACCTTGGAATTAATTGGAAATATTATATCATGTTCCCCTGGTTTAGACTGATGTTCACACTAAAAATAGATGTGATGTCAGGAATGTAAATCCCAATGTCTCTAAATAGGAAATACTGTTGTTGCCTGAGACCTCATTTTAACAATTCTAGAAAGCGGACAGTGTACCTGATACTGTTTCATGTGGCCAATAGTCCGGTCCAGTTTCCCCAGTCTGTCTGTAATGGCTGTAGACACATCTGACCATCGGCCATTCAGATTCTTAAGGTCATTCTGGAGATCCCCTACATCTTCATCAGAGGACTTCTTGTCAATGAGCTCCTGCCCAGTCCTGTTGACGTAGTCCAAACTGGCTTGGTGGTCCTGGAGATCGTCCTGCAGTTCCTACACACATCAACAAAATACAAAAGCATTGACATTTTCTGAATGAAAATTTGTTTAAATCAGGAGACTGAAGAAAGTAATCATGTATGACAAGTCAACATTTAAATGTTTCCCAAAAGTGTTTGGTAATATTGGTGAAAATTTATCTTTCAACAAAACACACTAGAATATGAAGGGAGACAACTCTTCCAAAACTTCAGAAATTGTCTCCCTTGATGTGCTACCATTTTACCACTTATATTTTGCAAATATAACATATGATCAGGATATGATGACATTAAACAATACTCTTGTGACCAGCCTTCCCAAAAGATTTAAAGATACAGTATATTATATAACTGGTTCAACAGATAGGTTCCCAGTGAATAACTCACCCGGTATTGCAGTTGTTGTTCCTCCATTATTTCAAGACTCCCAGCCAGCGAGATCTTCTCAGTCTGCAGTATAGCCTCCATATCACTCACCCACTTGGAGAGTGCGCCGATGGCTGCCATGTATGACTTGGACGGAGCTCGCTCCATTGCCTCCGCTAACAACCTCTGCCTCTCCCCTAATAAACAATAGTGTGTGTAGAGGGATTAGCTGCAGTAGAGAACCCAGCCCTGTATATCATTAACATACCAGGGTGTAATGACAGTGTGAAATCACAATGCACAAGTCATGGTTAGTGTAACACAGGGTTTTAGTTACAATCTAGAAAGTCTACATTCAAATCTGATCAAGAATTTATTTAATGAAGAGTGTAATCCTTCAAGAACTGAAAATACCAGTGTTATGTTATGCAAACTTACATGTTACCAGGATCCATTTTGTTTGCCTTGAAAACTGCCTACTCTCACTTGATTTTGTTTGTGTTAGTTTCTTTTGAATTTGTTACAAAATAACTAGTTGTTTCATGATATGATGTATAAGACAAATGCCTCTCTAAATCTTTAGCCATTTAGGGTTCAACAGCCCAATAGCTGCTAACTGCTACATTTTCACTTAATCCACTTTAGACAAATAGTTTCTATTTTTGTCATGGTACTATACATGGCTGCAAATTGAAAGCTGTATCAAGTCAGTCAAGAAATAATCAAGTCTGGCTCATCCAAACAAGTGGTTGAGAGTATGAGCTACGATAATCCCTTTTGGGTATGATAACATGCAATCAGGCGTCACTGAGACTCCATCTTCATCTCAATACATGCATGCAAGGGGCACGGGGTCCTGCTCTGCCCCAGAGTGAGTGAGTGAGGTGGGTTTGACACTATTTTTCAACAGTATTCCCCTTCTATCAAGCATATCCAAGCATCAGCTTCATGTGGAAGGTAAGCCTGAAGTTGTGCAAGTCTCAGACATTTAGCACTTCACACCCACAAGTATTGGTGGCCCGATTAATTGAAATAATCGATGATTGGTCGTAGTGACTAAACGACCAAGCAATCGATCATAATTTCTCATAATAGAACACAAACAATTCTGGAACACTTGTTTTCATTAACAATATTTTTCACATGGTTGGTTTTGTCTGTTACATTTCGTAAGCACTACAAGCTCGTTTCAAGACATGATTGAATTTATCTTAAAGATTCTAAGAAATTTATGTTCCTAACATACTAGTCATCCTTTAAAGATGTGAAATTTTGCCCAAAAACCCCCAAAGAACTACATGTTTTTTCCCTTTTTTGTATGTGCATTAACAAATTTCATAAATGACGTTAACCAATTATTTTCGATGATTGATCGGTAGTAATGAACCAATCATCAATTATGAGATTTTAACCAATTCCCAACACTACCCACCAGCATGAGGATGGTGTTGACAAACCTAGAAACAATCGAATTGTGGCTCCTCAGAAAACTGGGTCACTCATGACCCTATTCTGCCTCACAACTCCCATGAGACAATACCAATCAGGACCACAAACTTCTTGACCGTGGAACTACCAGTTCCTCTCTGTCAGTCAATGGACCTCAGTGAGAACCAAGACTGGTACACTGAATACACACAGACACACAACATGGCCACAACATGGATGATGATGATGATGAACTGAACATGAGGCGACACACACATGCTAATGATCCTACTAATCATAATTACTAATTATCAAAGAATTATCATTTATTAATTATACAACCATGCAAGTAGCATGCAAAATCTATACAATTCATGAGGTCCAATGTTTTTCAGGACTTCGACATTTAAAAAAATAGCAAGTGTTTGTTAACTCAACAGCAGGTCAAATGAAATGGACTAGGTATCATAAATAAATTTCTGGGTAAATAATTTTCTGAATTTATCATGAAACTTTCAAAATAGGTTTGACTGGAAAGTAACATAATGTAAATCAAAGGAGAGTTTACAACACTTTCATGTTTCATGGTACTTACACTCCTCGGGATCTGGAATACAGTACTTGATGTAGATAAATGTATGTTACTGTCTACACAGAGAAACTAGGACTTGGCGATGGAGATACATGCAGTAACATCACTAAATATTTTAGATGACAGTTTGGAGTTAAAAATCATGCATTATGTCTATATGTGAGTAGCATTGAAAAGTCAAGCATAAAGGTTATTTAATAATAAATTCCAAAGCTTGGTGCTGAAAAGTCATGCATTTGTTTTAAAACTTTGAAAATGCATGCATTTATGTCCATTAATATGTGAGCTTACATGGTGTTCAAAACTCATGCCTTACATTTTATTCTTTATGTATGTGTTGAAAAGGTGTCAAATTATCAATATATTGGCCAATAATGTAAAGAAAGCTCATGCAATTATGATGGTCAATAATCTTGCCTATCTATATTGTTAGAGAAAATCTCCAGTTCATAGATAAGTACAGCGATGGCTGACACACAGCACCATCTGTATGGCAGCCTTCATAAACAATACACATCAAAAGTCTCTTAGATCTATGAGCATTTATAATAGTGTGAAATAAGTATTGAAAAACAAAACATTCTTGTATATTAGTCAATTTACACACAAATTAAAAAACCCTGAACATAACCAGATTTGTAACTTCCTCAAGGTAACAGAAGACGTTTTGAATCAAAGCAAAGATACGTTTTAACATTTGAATATGTTTTTGTGTAAAAAAATATTAATCTTTGTGTTCATATATATTTTCATTTTGTTCGTGCAATTGTATGGTGAATGTAACCACACACACGCACACGCACGCACGCAGGCACATGCACACACACTCTCCCTCTTACTGCCACCACACAAAGACAGAAACATCTGCAAAGACACACACACACGCATCCATGGACGCATGCACGCACAGACACAATAACAGTGTTTATGAATAGTAAGTGATGCTAAGATCCTTCCTTTGATTGGTATGGTTTCCGTCAAAGTATGGAAGCTGAATGATGTGAGATATGAGACGTACGTGTGGTGATGTGTGTCCAACAAAGCATCAGCAAGTCACTGAAAGACATGACAGTGTTGACACACAAGATAGACATGGTGACCAGGAAGCTGTCTCACATCGCACGATGTCGCACTTGCAGAAAACTCATAAAAAAAACACAGCTGTAGATGTCAGAAAAGTCTCACCAATATTATCGAAAGTTGTCTGCCACTTTGAATTGAAGACATTGAGATCTTCCTGTATCTGGTTGTTGGTTTTGTTGAGTTTCATTAGACTCTCGCCATGTTTTCTCAACCTGCTGACTCGATCCTCGTGGGACTTGATGGACTTCAACTTCAGCTGGACACAAAGTTAAATAAATCAATGCTCATACTGCTTGTATAAGGAATACTCCAGCTTCATAACAATCCATAAATATTAAATAGTGACCGACATCATGAGCCTTAATCCACACAACTGAGATATCAACCAAGCCATGAGCCACTGAGATATCAACCAAGTCATGAGCCTGTTAGTTGCCTTGACAATATGCAAATTGTAACGAAGATCTCCATAGGCTAACAATGTTCAGATGCAGAATGTTCAGAGTGAATGAGAATGGTTTTACATCTGTAACATATTCTCTGGAGCTGTAGGAATAAAACTTTTTGGATCAGAGATGTCAAAGAAGAATACATTTAATGCTTTTCTTATGTCCTGTTTTGACAGACTAGAGGGCTATGAGTTTCAGACATTGACAGGGAGCAGTTTCCAAACAAATTGGAAGAGACATTTTGTTGTTATCATTAGACAATGGTGATACAACTGTGGGTGGGTGGGTGTGAGTAGGTAGGTGAGTGGTGAGTGGGTGGGTGAGAGTGAGTGATGTGAGTGAGGAGGATCCGTGAGCGGTGCGAGTGAGTTTAGTTTTACGCTGCTTTTAGCAATATTCCAGCAATATAACGGCGGGGGACAACAGAATTGGCCTTCAAACATTGTACCCATGTGGGGAATCAAACCCTGATCTTCGGCGTGATGAGCGAATGCTCTAACCACTAGGCTACCCCATCGCTCTTGTAACATTTCAAGATTGGAACACCCAATCAGGTTTCTGTACAGACACTTTGACCACCACAAAACAACGGCTCACCTTGCACTGGTCCAGCTGCTGGCTGATGTCCATGGCCTCGTCAGCAATCCTCTCTGCAGTGGTCACCCACTTCTCATAGCTGGCCATCAGTTCCTGCAGCGTGGCCAGCTCGCTGTAGAACTTCTTGGTCTCCATGTTGAGATCCACCCTGTTCTGTGTTTCTGACAGTTTCCTGTTGATGTGGTCCCATCTCTCCTCCACCTGTCTCGTGGCCTTCACGATGTGTTTGTTGGGCTCATCAGCTGAAACACAAGGGAATGACGTGATATTGACAGTCCTGGGGCTCCTTTCACGAAGCAACCTTTACTAAGGGTAACCTTAACATTGCACTAAGGCCACCTTAGTGACTTACGATAACCTTAGTGATTTGTGAAAGGAGGCCCTGTTCCACAAAGGCATTGCTATGACTTATCTACCTCCCACTGTTCAACCTAGACTTACAATCATCACAGATGGAAGATCATGGTTTGGGTCAGCTCATTGAGGAGTAAGTGTATTGTCAATGTCTAAACCCTGCAATGACTTGATACAATCAATGCTAATGTAACTGGCTAAAGGGACACAACTCTAGAAGGAACAAATTTATCCCTATTTCGAGTTGCTGTGAAACTGTAATTTATGGAAACAAATTACTGCCATATATTTCTCTTACAATCTATAGATGCTGTTAATTAACTCAGAATCAACACATGCTGTCAAGTATGTATTGTTGTTTTAAACTCACCAATTTTCAGTTCAGTTGTGACGGTTTTACCAAGCCTCAACAGGTTGAACACATCGTGTGTGTGAGCTTTCACCTCACTCTCCATGTCCTGAAAGAAACGATATCGATAGAAATATATCTACAGAAACTCAGTGTGATTGCTTATCCAAGTATAGATACATATGTATTACAGATGACAACTACCTCTCATGTCCAAGTGTAAATTACACAAATCTCCAGTTGCCCGGTTTGGAATGAAACCTGGATTAAAGGTGGCATGATCTACTGAGCCATTACAACAAACAACAAACCTGTGTTAGCACCAACTGTTCTTCTTCTGTGAACTGTTCTTGCGGACTATTGGATTCCGAGACGAGAAGCTCCAGTGTCGTTTCTGTTTTGTCAAACCAATCGTATAGTGTCATAAGATCCTGGTCAAATTGCACCTGATTGGCTGACTCAACACGACGCTTCTTAGCTGACGAGGCTGAAGGGGATCGAAGTCTTGCTTCTTCCGAAACTTCCGAAATCATCTCCTCAGATATCTTTCCCAGTTCTACCCCTGAGTTTGCAATCTGGGCAAGAAAACAAACAAACAAACTTAGCACAAACTGTCACTATCTTTTCTCTTACTGATCTTTCAAAACGTCTCAGCATAAAATGAGGCAAATTTGTTTTACCTGTTTCTTGCTTAGTGGCATATGATGGTAGACTGTAAATAATCTAAATACAAATATATAACAAAGCATTTTCAAGCAAAATGGCTACGTATATGAGTATTTTACTGCATATTTTCGCTTTTGTGTCCATGATACAGGGAGGGCTATCTTTAAAAAGGACAGGCAATTATCGCAGGGCAGATATCTACATACATCAGGCCTTCATTGAAAACATAACACAATACTCTTACAATTCTTTAAAGATTACATAACATCACAATAATAAATAAGCTGTCAGTAGCAGTCTTCAACTGTCACCATAGGACTGAAAGTGCTCAATCCCGTTCATTTCTAAGTTTAATTCAAAATGGCTGCCATGTGCGTCTGCTCCCATCCTGCCATCCTCACCTCTTTACTCTGGTACTCCATTTGCTGGACAAGTCGCTCCCACCTTTCCTGGAACTGCTCCAGCTGTGAGCTGATGCGATCAACAGCCACCTGATTGTCGACATGCTGGACGATCTGCTGACCACAGTCGTTCAGCTCGTCAAACCTCTGGACCTGTTCCACCATGTCTCTCTCAATTGCCTGAAAAACAGTCACTTGCATTAAAAACAGAATCTGTACCACGTCAGCCATTGTGGACATGAGGAGTGGGTGAGTTTTAGGATTACAGTTTCTTCACAGCATGATTGCTGAATTTGAGAGAAGAGCTGAAAGTGCTGTAGATGCAAACATCACCGACTACGAGAACCCATTACAACAGGTACAGGGTTTCATGTGATGCAGGAATATGCGTCCATACCCAGAAATGTATAGAATGGGTACAGAAAATTACATACACTGTGTCCAGTGATATTCACTGTTCAATATTCGTGACAAGAAATATAAAGTTCATGTAAATAAAGTAACATTAAGCCTTACAATACAGACTACTACATCATTTGATCAGTTTACAGGACCTCATATTTCACCTTAATTTAGTTGGTCATTGTAAAACCAGTAAACATAAACAGGGCAAATAATGGACTGGATCCTGTGATCGTATGTTTCTGGATGCCTAAGGGATACAACCCAGGCTAGCTATTCTTGAAACTTTTGTAGCCCTACGAACTTCTCAAGCCCATTTTTAACAAAATGGCTACGATCAAAGTTAAGAATTCTTAGGGCTATAAACATTTTGAGAATAAGGGCCCTGGGCCCTGTTTCTCAAAGCTCTCGTAAGCCTAAGATCTCGTAACTTTTCTCGTAGCATTCGTACCTCCAATGTTACAGTATAGGAGATTCGAATGCTACGAGAAAAGTTACGAGATCTTAGGCTTACGAGAGCTTTGTGAAACGAGGGAATGGGCAGCCCAACAATGGTGTAGGTAACCTTGCAACTATTCATGACACACCATTACACAAATCACTTCACATAACTACCTTCAACTGTCTGACTTGGGCTATCACTTCTTCAGCTACAGTCAGGTCAGCCAATCGCATTCTTCCTAACACTTGTTCCTTATCTGCTAGCCAATCAGCAAATTGGTTTTGTTCCTCATTGAAGTGCTGCCACTTTAGGAGCAGTTCCTGTAAAATCATCCACTTCTTTTCTGTCCATCGTCCAATTGTTGCCCATCGCTTCCCGAGTGACTCCAGCTGCTTCTCCATGGCTTCACACACTGAAATATTCAACCAAAAAATGAACTATTCAAACGACAAAATGTAAAAAAACAATTTTGCAGTAAGAGTAACCGAAACATACAACCTGATGTTGTTTGCTATATTCATGTTATTAATTAAAAACATACAAAAGAGAAGAAAAAAAAAAAAAAAAAATGAAAAAGTTGGATCCAACCATCTCATCATGAACTTTGTGCGAATCATTGCAAATTTACTGGCTGTGGGTGGCCCAGTAGTCTGAGGTTCAGCAATTTGTTATCGAAGCACAGTGCGATGCAACTTTGAAGAACTGACTGGAAGTTCAACAAGTGAGATTGAACTCAATTTTGGATTTTGGCCTGTACCTCCAAATATTCTGTGTGTACCAGAGTATGAGCAGCCTTCATAGTCTCACGACAATATCTCAGTTTCTCATTACGCACACCATTATACACCATTTCTATACCGAAATGATGCATCATCCATAAAGTATCTTGCCTATATTATTACAAGGCAATAAAGACAGTCAAAGACAAACAGTCTGCCAGCGGGTGTCACTCACCACTCTCTGTGTTTGTGTCGTCTACTACCACCACCATGTTCTGCAGACTGTCCACTCTCTTTTGCTGCTTCTCCAGGGATTCCTGGATCCGCTGTAACAAACAGGACATCCACATCATAAAGGGCCATGTGTACAAAGAGTTCCTAAAAAACAGGGCGTTAAAAACCCACATCATAAATGGGTCGGCCACATGTTCCAAATGTTCCCAATGCTGAAACTATCAAAGCTCTCATCCTTGATCCGCTTCCATAAAAACTGCACATCCACATGATACAGATGCCACATGCATGAAGTAATAATAATTTTAAGACAATCATAGCTCTTGCAGTATAACAGATACTCCTGGATGTACATCCTATAATCCCAACAAGCTGAGCATACAATCACAAACTGTCATCAAGAAGATACAGGTCACCATTGCCCATCACTCACCGGTCCATGCAGCATACCCTTTGGATTAAGTCAAAGAGCGAATGGCTTTCTCAAATAGCTGAACTAAACAATTATTACCATGTATATCTGGTGTCCTACCTTGTGTTCACTGACTTGTCGCTTTATGGAGTCGAGATCGGATCCCAGGGGCTCCTGCTGGTTGATGCGTTCCTCCATCTGACCCAGCCAACTGGCCAGCTCATCCAGCTGCTGCTGCTGAAGGTCCATCAACACCTGCTGCAGTCTGCAACACAAGGGACAGTACTGAAGTAATGGGGGGCAGAGGACAGTACTGAAGTAATGTGAGGCAGAGGACAGTACTGAAGTAATGTGAGGCAGAGGGGACAGTACTGAAGTAATGGGGGCAGAGGACAGTCAGAGGGGGCAGAGGACAGTACTGAAGTAATGTGAGGCAGAGGGTAGTACTGAAGTAATGGCAGAGGGCAGTACTGAAGTAATGTAATAGAGGGCAGTACTGAAGTATCAGGGGCAGTACTGAAGTTGTTGTCAGAGGGCAGTGAAACAATGTATCTCATAGGAGCAGTACTGGAATATAATGTGTTGTAGAGGGCAGTACTGAAGTACAAAAGCACTGAAGTTTAGGCAGAGGGCAAATGGGGTCATTACAGAGGGCAGTGCTATAAAGTCCATAATACCCCAATAATATCAGGTTTCTGTTTGTTGCTGAAACAAATATCTCATAGGAGGGATGGAATATAAATGTTTCCAAATAAAAAAAATTACCCATAAAGTCCATCATTTTACACGCGGCTACCTATGAAACAGACACTGTTTGATGTTCCATAAATTTTAATCATTTCGAGAAGAGAGGTCAGAGAAGTAATTACAGGCATCTTCAACTTCAAAGATGAATGTTTACCTACATCAAAAACACATCTAAACTCTTCCTCCCATTGACGTCTGCCACAGAGATCTCTACATGTTACACATCCTATTACAGCACACAGCCACAGGCAGACAAGATGCTTCAGTGAGTGGATTCTGTCTGAGTGTACCTTGTCTGCTGTTCAAGTGCTTCCACTGACACAAAGTCAGAGGAAGCCGAGGTGGCTGAGTGGGTTAGATGGCTGACATTGTGTGCTAGCAATTAGGATGCGTGACTCTGAGAGCATGGGTTTGAATCCCGGATGAGACTCAACCCAAAAGTACTAGAATCTGAACTTTACTGAGAAAGTGTAACATGTGTGACTTAGAAGGTTCCTCAGAGAAAAACATTGTTTTAAGACATCAATTCACAGTCAATATGTTTTTCCAAAATACAAAATTCACAAACTTTTCAGAGGATCTCTTTCAGAAACTAATAATTCAATCATAACATACGTTTCAATAAGTACTTAGTATTTCAATACAAAACAAAAACAAACAAAATCTAACGCAATTTTATCAGTCCCATTTCATTATAAGAATCAATCACTTTAAGTTTGTCATCATTCATAAAATATACTTCCCTCTTGATCAAAGGAGTGCAAGACCATCAAAGTCTGGATAAGAATTTATGCTCCATATATCAAACATTAGCGGCACTTATAAATACTGACAGCCAAGTGTTGGCGCCGTGCCGACACAGTGGCAGGTGAGGGGTTCTCACAACACAGTATTGGGTAGGATGCCGTTTGGTTCCTTCTGATGTCTGACAAGAACCGCTCCTACTGCTCTTCTGTCAGCGGTGTATAAATGTTGCATTGCCGACCATGCAGCTGCCAGTTCAATGTCCCCATTAATACTTTGGGAAGTTATTTTTCTGGCAGCATTTACCTAATGGCCTTATTTTCTCTGGAGCTGTAGGAATAAAACCTTTTGGATCAGAGATGTCAAAGAAGAATACGTTTAATGCTTTTCTTATGTCCTGTTTTGACAGACTAGAGGGCTATGAGTTTTAGACACTGACAGGTAACAGTTTCCAAACAAATTGGAAGAGACATTTTGTTGTTATCATCAGACAATGGTGATACAACTGTGGGTGAGTGAGTGAGTGAGTGAGTGAGTGAGTGAGTGAGTGAGTGAGTGAGTGAGTGAGTGAGTGAGTGAGTGAGTGAGTGAGTGAGGTCACCTCCTACATAATGCAAAAGTTAGATGATGAACTATTCTAACCTTATTATCTTTCTAGAGATCTATTTAAACATGTGTAAGAAACCAGTTCAGTTTTGGAAATAGCAAACTCAAAGATCTAATATTAAAAGGAATGAGTGCATGACTTTATGTTGATGGCAACTGTGTCAGACATCACAGGAAACCGAAATGGTTGCATCAGAAATAAATGATGTACAGTCATAAGCACATCAAGAAGTGTAACCAGGTAAGCTGGACCCCTGCCAATCACTGATTATTTGGGAGTAAGTGAGTGAGTTGGATTTTATGCAGCTTTTAGCAATATTCGAGTAATATCACGGCGGGGGACACCAGAAATGAGCCCATGTACCCATGTGGGAAAAAGAACCCTGCCTTTGGCGTGTCGAGAGAGAACGCTTTAACCATGGGGCTACCCTTCACAATGCTTCACCAATTCCCAGTCTTACATTATTGTGGGTTTCAGATGAAACGTTTCAAACAAAGATCTATATTATGATGAGCGAACCCTTGCCACCATATTGTCTTCAAATTTGTTAGTTTTGACACTCCGAACCATCTTGCTACCATTACATCTAATCCTCCAGTTAAACTCCATGTTTTCAGTCATGTATGACACACTTTCCAAACTGTTGTGCCCTTGTAGTGATTGTTTTTCAATTATTATTTCATGATTCTCAGCAAAGACGCAAAGTTTTTTTGTGAGGTATCATCAAATATTCAGACCATTACAGACACTTTTATCACAAATCAATGGCCCTTTAACACGACTGATCCTTTGAAGTCAGATCGGTTTGAGTGTGCAGTATTGTGGCTGAGTACGTCCAACAAACAAAGACTACCATTAAAACTACAATATCTGCCTGTGATTTTTATTTCTATTCAGCTAATTAAAAAAAAACACAGCAAAAGAGCTTTAATACAGTCAATACAATTTCTTGTAAGTTTTATTGGCATGATTGCTTTTAGCAATATTCCAGATTTCCAGCAATATCACGGCAGGGGACACCAGAAATGGGCTTCACACACTGAATGCATGTGTGGAATCGAACCCGGGGTCTTCGATGTGACAAGTGATGCCTTAAGCAGGAGGCTACCCATCGCTCCCAATCAATTAGTGATAAAGTTTAGTTCAACACTGTATATGGTTATAATGTTCTGGTGCAAACCACAAGCAGTGGTATGGCACTGCCAAATGTAGACACATAAACAGAGCAAAGTGGGATCTTCATACAATAACTAAAGGACTAAAGGACTAAAGGACTAAAGGATTGATACTCTGCACATTTGATTACGACGCCTTTAGACAGGGCAGCTGTATCAATGATAGAAATCTTATTCAGCTCACTTCTAACACCTTCTGGTGTATAATATGGGAGATACTTCGAAGCAATGTGAATGCCAGTCAGTATTATTCAGCTGTATCATGCAGTTTTAGACATATTGCGGATCAAGTGAACCATGGTTGACATAATGAGTAACATCCCCAGCCATTGAGGTATCAATCTTCTATCCTGACCACTCCATCCAGTCTGTTAACCAAGGGATGAACTCAAAAGAAATTAAAGGACATCAATTGTTTTCATATAATAATCATAACTTTATTGGTTGGTGTCATGACACATAGCCCTCTACTTTAGATGCTCTTTAACTCGTTTTTAGTTATATATATATCAATTGAGATATGAGCAATGCTACAGAGGGTGGGTGATAGCTGATCTATGATCTGCACTGTCATGTTATGTGCAAGAAATCAACCTTATCTGTACTTTAAGTGAAATGTTTCCCAGATTGGACAGATGCATGTATTTGATGAAGGACACCTCCCTGCTATTACTGCAGAGAGAGTATATAACCCCAGTATATCGTGATTTAGAGTGTATATAACCCCAGTATATCGTGATTTAGGGAAGTATGAATCATATACCATGTAGCCATTAACACTTCAGTTTGATGTCCACTGAAAAAATCGCAATATTTTCCCTGGAGTTTTATGTGAGGACTATTAGAAGCCATATCAAAATCTGACAAACTTATCTATCATTAATAGCATCTTACGGCTTCATACTGAACGAGGGAAATGAACTCAAAGGAGGGAGAATGTTGCAGATTTACTTAATGTGCTTCATACTTGTGTACTGCACTGGCAGAGTTTGGAAGTTTTAGTCATTAAGGACTCAGGTTTTTGAGGTTCTTGGGTTGTATTCAAATTTCATTCACCCTCCAAAACTAAAGGTGTTTGCAATAAGATATTGACAGGAGTCACTGATGTTCATGCAGAATTGTGAACACTACCTTGGGCTTTAAATTTTGATGTGTTCATGAGAGCGAGAGGCAGTTATATGAAGCTTTGATCGATACTTCAGCAACATATTCTGGAAGGAGACACTAACACAGATGACATACTGCAGGATGCCGGATGCCGGATGCCGGATGCCGGATGCCATGGAGGTTTATCTGGTTCATGGATGTCAGCAAGTCAATGTTGAGCTTAACTTCCTCTCTTTGTATTTTGTCTCAAGTGAAAATCAATAAAATATTCAGCTCTAATCTTATCTGCATGCATGAGTATACATTCTATGTAAAAATTCAGTTGTATACACGGATGTGACTCACGAGTTCTTGAACCGGGGACCAAGACAATATAAGTGGTATGCTGAATGGCAAGAGAGGCTGGCAGCCTCTTGTATGAATCTATCCTATTGTCCCATCTCTTATTATGTCAATGCATTAAAATATGTATTGTTATTTCCTCAGATCTTAAGAACATGGACAACTCAGCAATGTGACTGAATGGGTATCATTTTCTACCCTTTTTAGCAGTATTCCAGCAGTATCACTGTAGGGCCACCAGAAATGAGTCTCTCACATTGTACCCATGTCGGGAACTGAACCTGGGTTTCGGCATGACAGGCGAACACTTGAACCACTAGGCTACTCCACCACTCACACCCCTGCACTGTGACTGCACAATGTCACTGTTATAAAAATCTAACAGATGAACCTGCCACACACCAGTGGTATATTTCCAAGGACTACCTCCTCGTCTGAGACAGTGTAATCAGCTACAGCAGGTGCCCCCCTAGACACTGTAGTCAGCTGGTGGCCATGCATGTAAACAGCAGTTGCAATCTACTGATAAACAGGCCCCTTATAACGCTGTCAAGACATTGATGACTTGCTTATTGAAGATGGTGATCCTGATTATTCGACATACTCTGGCTAATGCCCACGTTATATGGGAACTGTCACTCTCAAACTGTATACCATATAATCATGAAACAGATGTCTGAATCCAAGAGCATCTCAGACAATCAGGTGGAGTACATACTGACATTTAATGGAAGCACATAATAGTGTTGTTCGACAGTGTCAGCTCTTTTAATTAAATAAATGCTTTTTTCTCAAGTTCAAGTTGCGTGCACATTTGAGAGTCAATTTTTTCAATAAAAGTATGATGAATAAAATATTTCCGATTAATCTTTATTGCTGACACTGTCGTAACAGGCGACTAACGGGATCAGGTGGTCAGTATTGCTGACACTGTCGTAACAGGCGACTAATGGGATCAGGTGGTCAGTATTGCTGACACTGTCGTAACAGGCGACTAACGGGATCAGGTGGTCAGGCAAGCAGACTTGGTTGACACATATCATCATATCTAAATTGTGTAGATTGAGGCTCATGCTGTTGATCACTGGATTGTCTGGTCCAGACTCGACTACTTACAGACTATCGCCATATACCTGAAATATGGCTGAGTGTGGCATTTAACAACAAAGCAACCAACCAATTATTGCTGACAACAAGAACTGATCATCACCTGACAGGATCTCTATGTGACTGTAACGGTGGGACACCACAGTGACAGGATCTCTATGTAACTGTAATGGTGGGACACCACAGTGACAGGATCTCTATGTGACTGTAATGGTGGGACACCACAGTGACAGGATCTCTATGTGACTGTAATGGTGGGACACCACAGTGACAGGATCTCTATGTGACTGTAATGGTGGGACACCACAGTGACAGGATCTCTATGTGACTGTAATGTGACTGTAATGGTGGGACACCACAGTGACAGGATCTCTGGGATGTGACTGTAATGATCTCTATGTGGGACACCACAGTGACAGGATCTCTATGTGACTGTAATGGTGGGACACCACAGTGACAGGATCTCTATGTGACTGTAATGGTGTAATGTGTGGGACACCACAGTGACAGGATCTCTATGTGACTGTAACGGTGGGACACCACAGTGACAGGATCTCTATGTGACTGTACACACCACAGTGACAGGATCTCTATGTGACTGGGACACCACAGTGACAGGATGTGACTGGGAACCACAGTGACAGGATCTCTATGTGACTGTAATGGTGGGACACCACAGTGACAGGATCTCTATGTGACTGTAATGGTGGGACACCACAGTGACAGGATCTCTATGTGACTGTAACGGTGGGACACCACAGTGACAGGATCTCTATGTGACTGTAACGGTGGGACACCACAGTGACAGGATCTCTATGTGACTGTAACTGTAATCTCTATGTGTGGGGTGGGACACCACAGTGACAGGATCTCTATGTGACTGTATGTGACGGTGGGACACCACAGTGACAGGATCACCACAGTGACAGGATCTCTATGTCTCTAATGGTGGGACTGTAAGGATCTCTATGGGACACCACCACAGTGACAGGATCTCTATGTGACTGTAATGGTGGGACACCACAGTGACAGGATCTCTATGTGACTGTAATGGTGGGACACCACAGTGACAGGATCTCTATGTGACTGTAATGGTGGGACACCACAGTGACAGGATCTCTATGTGACTGTAATGACTGGGACACCACAGTGACAGGATCTCTATGTGACTGTACACGGTGACAGGACACCACAGTGACAGGATCTCTATGTGACTGTAACGGTGGGACACCACAGTGACAGGATCTCTATGTGACTGTAATGGTGGGACACCACAGTGACAGGATCTCTATGTGACTGTAATGGTGGGACACCACAGTGACAGGATCTCTATGTGACTGTAATGGTGGGACACCACAGTGACAGGATCTCTATGTAACTGTAATGGTGGGACACCACAGTGACAGGATCTCTATGTGACTGTAATGGTGGGACACCACAGTGACAGGATCTCTATGTAACTGTAATGGTGGGACACCACAGTGACAGGATCTCTATGTGACTGTAACGGTGGGACACCACAATGACAGGGCAAAAACTCCTGAGATTATCCCAGAGCTCAGAGTTTGACCATGCATGCAGTAATCGAGTTCCTAATCTTCACACCTGCAGATTAAGGCTAATCTAGTTAGAATAAGATCCCAGTGCTGCTAATATGCTTTCCATGAACAATCAGACTAAGTCAACTGGTTTATACCACTCACAGTGTCACCGCTATTGCCAAGAACAAATACCTAAACACATTCATGAGATAGCTTTCACAGTCAAATCTATTTTCATTTTAACTAGGATCAAGCTACAGCATAGCATCTAGACAAGTTCTGGCAAACCAGTGACTGAGAGCATGACCAATGTTCCACAGTAGGATGATGCAAAATCTGTTAGTTAAAACAACCCATTATGAGGCCCTTGAAATAAGGATAGATGCTGTATGTTCACTCTACATTGGGAACCCCAAGGGAAGTATAAGATATACATACCTGCTCTGTCTGTCAAGGGCCTTGAGACGGAGGTCTTCCCACCGATTGTTAAGTAATCCCATCTGAACACGGATTTCATTCTCCTCCTCTTCCGTGACCTTGCCCTCTGCAATGAGGTCATTTCCTTCCTTCAGGACATTCCCAATACTGTCCTGGTGCTTGGTCAGTTCCAGCATAAACTCCTGCAAGGAGACAAGTTGGTATCACAACTGGTCAAGGGTTCAATGTACAAGGATGGTGCATAGTTATTTTAGTGTGGATTGCATTTGGGTGGGTTGTGTTTGGGTGACAGCATCTACATCTTGTACTCATGTCCAATAGTCAACCATATGTTCTTGTACACTTATACTGTATGGAGAATAGCAACTAGATGAGAACTGTGTGCTATCTCTTGCTGTCATATGTGTTAGCAGACGTACCTCATGTTCATTAAACTGTTTCTTGACACTGTAGACGAGGTGTCCAATGGAGGCTTGTTTCTCGATGACCTCCTCTGCCTCCAGCAGCCAGGTGAGGACGTTCTCAAGGGCATCCTGGTAGGACAGGAGATCAGAGGAACGTGGTGCTCATGGTACTGTGTCTGCTCTCAGAGCTGCTCATGGACATGGCAGACTGGAAAACAAACAGCAATCTCACAGTCTCCTCTAAAGTCAAAGTCATTAAGAATACATTCATTTAATGTGGATTGTACTATATCTTTTGGATCACAACATTTAAGGATCAATAAGATACGGGTAGAGAGCTTTTTCCTAAATAAGCAGACATTGCAAACAGTCTAGTTTGTCTCTCGAAACAAAACTTAAAAAGGTGTCTAAGTAAAAGTCGAGAATGATGTGGCAAGTCTAGATTGCCTCGATCTGAAATAAAGAATTGTTCTGGGCTCCATGTGCATTTTTTTATTTTGTTGATATGTATTTCTAAATAAGAAATAACTACGCTTCTGAGACTAAATGTCAGTCTACAGTCACCATGAGACTGGACATCCTGGACAATCAGGGCCTGGACTATTGAATGCACTCGTCAAACGGAAATTGAACAATGATTTGTCATGACATTCTGACTAGTCCAAAATAGAAGCAATAACAAAACGTTCTCTCCCAATAAATACAAAGCCCTTGACAAATGAGTGGCCGAAATACCATCCACTGCAAGGTCTCTGTTTCATGCTGAAATGTCGCAATAGAACATTTCCAAAAGCAGAATATAAACAAACCTTCATATGATGCTTCTAAACAAATGACCATGAACATACCAACCACAAATGTCAAGATACTAGACAAACAGTCCTAAGTAATTTGATTTAAAGAGCACAGGAACTACTTACTGATACAAGTTCATATTACATGCCTGTTACATGGTGCAAGGAGAGTGCCATCTTCATTGTTCGGAGACCAAATTTCAGGAATTAAAATGGCTCTCTCTCAAACTTGGCCTCCTGTCAGTGGTTATTACCATAGACAGGACAAAGAACAAAACATGTAGCACAATATCATAATTCAAGGTCTCGTTCCGATGATTAATGACACAGTCAACTATTAAAACACTGGCAAATCGTTATCTAATAACAGACAGGTTAGGACCCTCATACAAAAACTTACTTTTTTGTCCTGTTATTCCATTAATTACTTTTCGTTTTAAGTTAGGATATTTTTTAACAATGTCATGATTTCATGAATCAAAAATGGATTTTTTGAACCGGTCAAGAGATGAAAACAAAAACAATTCTTCCAAGAGATCAAGTTCCCTTTTGCCAGAGGCTGCGTGGTGCTACGCTCACTCCACTGTTCGTATCACATAACGATGTTCTCCCACCATGGAACAACTTAATATTCCCTCAGTTCAGCACATGCATACCCAATTGCTTAAAGTCATATTTAATAAATTTCTGCTTCCACAATTACAATAATTGTTAATGCCAGAATAATTCAGACTCCAAATGAAAACAAGAAGTAGTCTGGTGACTCCCTCACTGATGGAAACACTGGACTCGAGTTTTCAGACAAGATTATTGTCGACACTGACATCCCCTTTTAGGTAGTTAAACTTAAACGACTACAAGCCAAGCCATTTTTATTCCAATATCATGTGCAAAATATCAGTAAAAAGATGTCCTTGATTTCCATTTGTATTTAAATTAGACCAGGTTCATCACCAACACACTTATAATGAACTGATTGGTATAACAAACTGTTGGGTTTTTATCTCAGCCAAGTTTCTTTGCATAATGCGAATAACAAACTACTTTTAACTAACTAAAAGACCTTGTACAGAGTATAGTCATAGGCAGCAAGTCTATGTCAGACCACAAAGTATTTTGTATCAGAATTTGTATTTTGACTGGCAACAAGACCTTGTACAGATTATAATGAGAGGTCTACACCAGATCACATAAAGTACAGTGTACATCAGAATTTGTATTTTGACTGGCAACAAGACCTTGTACAGATTATAATGAGAGGTCTACACCAGATCACATAAAGTACAGTGTACATCAGAATTTGTATTTTGACTGGCAACAAGACCTTGTACAGATTATAATGAGAGGTCTACACCAGATCACATAAAGTACAGTGTACATCAGAATTTGTATTTTGACTGGCAACAAGACCTTGTACAGATTATAATGAGAGGTCTACACCAGATCACATAAAGTACAGTGTACATCAGATTTTGTAGTTTGACTGGCAACAAGAGCACACCAGATCTTGTACAGATTATTGTGACAGGTCTATATCAGATCTTGTACAGATAATTGTGACAGGTCTATATCAGATCTTGTACAGATTATTGTGACAGGTCTATATCAGATCTTGTAGAGATTATTGTGACAGGTCTATATCAGACCTTGTACAGATTATTGTGACAGGTCTATATCAGACCTTGTACAGATTATTGTGACAGGTCTATATCAGACCTTGTACAGATTATTGTGACAGGTCTATATCAGATCTTGTACAGATTATTGTGACAGGTCCATATCAGACCTTGTACAGATTATTGTGACAGGTCTATATCAGATCTTGTACAGATTATTGTGACAGGTCTATATCACACCTTGTACAGATTATTGTGACAGGTCTATATCAGATCTTGAACAGATTATTGTGACAGGTCTACACCAGATCTTGTACAGATCATAGTGACAGGTCTACACCAGATCACATAAAGTACAGTGTGCATGAGACTTTGTAGTTTGACTGGCAACAAGAGCACACCAGATCTTGTACAGATCATTGTGAGCTCGGCTCCATAACGGCACATATTGACTGGCAGCAAGTATAATCAGTTACCCACAGCATGTATTGACCATTATTGATGACTGGCCATATCACACCCAGTGCTCACACAAACAACAAGAGGGACATATTAAACGGAGATTTTCTGATTAGCCATATTTGATTACCCAGCACTTAATGTCCATTATAGAAGCTTGAGAAACAAACATGAAGTGAACAAAGATTAAACTGTCAATCTATTGTGCATTGTTTGCAGCCAGCCATAGTTTATTTTACGTTTCCCAGGTAGTTAATAGTTTGCACTAATAATTCTAAAACAGGAATCCAAACGATTCATGACATCAGTGTTCTGAATCTCAGAACAAAATATTGTTGAGATCAAGATATCAGTTGTAAATTCTAAATATAAGTGAGTGAGTGAGTGAGTTTAGTTTTACGCCACTTTTAACAATATTCCAGCAATATCATGGGGACACCAGAAGTGGGATTCACACATTGTACTCATGTCGGGAATCGAACCCAGGTCTTTGGCATGATGAGCGACCGCTTTAACCACTAGGCCACCCCACCGCCCCTTCTAAACATTAAGTTAAAAATAACATAACATGTCGTAAGAGGCGACTAACAGGATCAGGTGGATAGACTTGCTGACCTGGTTGACACGTTATCGTATCCCAATTGCGTAGATCGATGCTCATGCTGTTGATCACTGGATTGTCTGGTCCATATTCGATTATTTACAGATCTCCTCCAATAGCTGGAATATTGCTGAGTGAGATGTTATACAACAAACAAATAAGTAAGTCGGATTAGAAAGTCCTTAGATTGACATAATGAACATCAATCTATGAGCACAAGATGACATGTATTACATCAACCCAGCCAGTAAGCCCAAGAAATCGCTCAGGGTGCCGTTCCACAAACCTATCTTATCCAAGATCAATCTTAGCAAGTTACGCCAATTTTACAATCGTCTTAGCTAAAAGTTACACCCGTTCCACTAACCGATCTTAGGCCGATCGTAGCCGGTCCCGATCTTACGATCCGATCCAAGCTTAGATCGAGACTCTTTCGTGCGAGAGATAGAGAAATGCGAGGAAGTAGTTTTGGAACCAAGTGTAAAAGTGGAGAAAAAACCTCGAGCAAAATATTAGGGTAGTGAGCACCTTGGTTTCAGGGGCAAGTGGGTGTGAACACCTCTACCTCACCACAAGCACATCATCTGATAACGTATCTAGAATCTGTCAGTGGTCTTGAAAAACACCCGGCCTGCCCTAAAATTTAGAATCCCCTACCAAATAAGCACAGAGAAATCAAACATATTTGTATCCTTTTGTTTCAGAACATTGTTCACTTCATGACCCCTACCTATTATTAACCATGACGTTGCAATATTGTTGAACAAATGTATTACACCGACACCCTCGGTTGTGTTCCCATGAGGACAGTGGTCAGACTGGCCCAACATTTGTAAGGCTTCAGTGCAGTGTTTGTTTACATCACAGAAATAAACAAATTCATTTCATTGGGGATTTTAGGGGACGTTCACGGTGAAATGCTCGCTCTTCTTCTTCACATAGAATATGAAAGCCACCATTTTGGTTTCTCTACGATTGATTTTAACGATTTTAGTTGGTCATGAGCAAATTAGACTTTGGATCTTAACTTTACGATTGACATGAGGAAGATTGGTTAGTGGAACGGTATGCCGATCGTAACGTCACGCTAAGATTGGGATTTTAGGGGTTTACGATTGGCGTAGGGCTAAAATCGGTTAGTGGAACGTCACCAAGGTGATTATCATCCAGTGACAAGGGTGGGTTTCTGAACACTGAACTTGGATTTGACAGTGTCTGTAATACAGCAGATCATCACATGTCCTGGGTCCCATTCCTCAAAGCGATCATAGTGCTACGACAGTCGTAAGTCTATGTTAAAGTATGGGAGTTACGATCACCTTAGCGCTACGATCGCTTTGAGGAACGTGGCCCTGGTCAGACCCTAATGCTGGTCCTTGGTTCCCACAGTCAAAGACTATCAGGCTGACCTCCAGGATCTAAGGGTCACTTAAATTTTGAAAACTGCCATCAGTACATTACAGGGTTAGACTTGGCCACTTGGCCATTAGTAAGAAAAGTGTGAAACTATTAAATAAGCCACTTGTTGGTGGACTTGTCTGTGGATTAGATGGATATTATCAATGGTGTTAACACTTAAACACGTATGGTTTCCTTTTAGCAGTAATAGGAATTTGTTTGAAATTTGTTGTGCAATTTACTGCAGTAAATATTCATGCATTGCAAGATGCAACACAATATATTCTTTCCTATCACCTAAAAACATCAGTAGAATGGACCAATACTCCAAAATACCTGC